CAGGTCTCACTCTTGCTCAGGCTGGTCTCAACTTCTGAGTTTAAATACTCCTTCTGACTTACTCTCCCAGAGTGTCAGGATTAACAGGCATAAATCACCTCTCCCAGCCCTACGGTATTTTTTATAAGACATTTATGTACTGTTTTTATCCTAAAATGTCCTCTGAAATATTCCAAGAAAAAAGTTCATACACATATTTTAGATTATGCCATTGGTAAAGAGAGTGAAATTATCATATTACTATCATTTATCTATTAGGAAAATATCAACATCATTATGCTAAATTAAATGTTCTTTCTTTATATATGTAGTTTAGAAAGTTTATTCAAATGTAAAGGTTGAGGACATCGTTCCAGGAACAAAGATTCAAGTTTTCCAGAATATACACTCTTAAATGTTCCTCTCATTTTCTAAGGGAAAAGGGGCACAACAGGTAAACCTAAATCTTTTTCAAGTACTATGGAAACTAAAGAATAAAGTTCAATTCCACTTGAAAGCTAATCATCCTAATATATTCCCATAGTAACAGTGCTGATAGCAAGTAGCTACCAATTTTCCTAAATTTGTAATTGCTACATTATTAAATTTCAGGTGAAAGAAAACCATTGAAATTTTAAAAGACAAATTTATCAAACCCACATATAAAAGAGAATTGTCTTGAACTAAAAATTAAATGTTTTAAGTATCTAAATGTTTTAAGTATTCTAAATATCAACAAATAAGTCATTATAGTAAAACTTACTCGTTTCAGCTTCATATTGTAACTATACTTTTCCCCTCGGGAAAAAGAAAACATCAAGACAAAAGGACTATAAAAAGAGTGTACTTAATATGTCTGAATTAATCAGAGTTAACATATAAGAACTAAAATAAATAGTACTAATTAAGTGTCCCTTCTTGCCAGAAATAATATACTTTTTCATGAGTCTCATATTTCCAAAATATTCAGAAAAATGACTTGAGTACAAGATTTTTGCATTGAGGTGCATCTCAACTAATACAAAATCATCTCTTTCCCCCAGATACTCCATTAAAATTTTTAATTTGGGAGTAATAAGGTGCAAAAGGATAATATTAATATGATCAAATTAATATAGTTAATATGTCAATTTTATAATTTAAATTATATGTACTTAATTTTGCACAAATTTCTGAAAATGAGAGGCAAATCAGAAATTTCAACTATATTCTGACATTTTGAAGCTCTTAAATTCATACAGGGAGTGTGTTAAGATTTCAGCATTTTAAGACTATCATGTAAACTTAATTTACACTGTGCAGATCAAAGAAAAGAAAAAAATTAAATTTGAGGGGGCATTTTATTGAAAACACTGCCTTTTCTCCAAATAACTCAGAAGTAATTAACTTCCATAAGATAATTTTTCAAAAAGGAAGAGCAAGCTAATCCTGTTTTGCTTTCTTAATACAATAGAACCTCCATAGTTGACCACCTCCCTACACTACTTCCTTAAATTGGCCTAATTTTCATAGACCAGACATGCACCACACTGTACATATCAGTACAGGGCTAGTTCCTTATGTTCAACAGTTTCCTATAGTCCCTTGGGTGGTCAACCTACAGAGGTTCTACAGTATATGGTTTTTGTCACCTGTGAAACATAAGTAGCAATTTGCATAAGGGTCTGCAATTTGCCTCAAGCCAACATCAATAAGACAGTAAGACCTCTAGGTTCCCAACCAAAAGCAGTATTCTTCTGTGGTTTAGAAAAATTGGGTTTTTAACCTTAACCTTATCCAAGACAGGTCACGAACACTGGAGCCAGAAAAGAACTAAGTTCAAATACAGCTCTCTCAGTAACTCGTTGTGTTACACTGGGCAAGCTTCCATGCTTTGATTTCCTTGTATGTAAAATGGATAATAAGAATAGTACTTACTTTATAAAGTTGTAAGGATTAAAGAATTAATAATACACGTAAACCACATAGCACACATTAAGTGCTATGTAAGTTCACTTTATTTTTACTGTTTCGCCACTACAGATTTTTACAGTTCGGTTGTCAAAAGTTTCTCAAGTGAAAATTATTTAATTTGGCTCGGCACCTGTGGCTCAAGCAGCTA